AACAAGAAAACTTTATGTCTGGTTTGGAACATAACAGAACATTTCACAGTTAAAATGCCCATTTAGCTCCTAGCAGGGAGCTCTGGTAGCATAGTGCCTAAGGCATTTGACTGCTAACCAAAAGGCTGATGGTTCAAGCCCCCCAGCCACTCCTCAGAAGGAAGATTGAGCAATCTACTTCCGTAGTGATACTGCCTTGGAAACCCAAGGAGGGGTCACTATGAGTCAGGTCTGACTACACAGCACATAACAACAACAACAACAATCTTATAGAAGGAGACCACCACATCTTTCTCCCATGAAGCACTGTGGATTTGAACTGCTGACCTTCCAGTTAGCAGTTGAGTGCTTTAACCGTTGTGTAATTAGGGCTCTTTCAATATATAACACAATAAGAGAAGACAAATAAAATGAGAAATTGGAGGTTCATATAAAATTTAAAGGTAGATGATGGACAATAAGGGGTTGAGGGAGATGGAGGATTGGGAATTGTGGCAAGAGAGTAGGATATTGGAATTGTATATTCCAGAGTTAGAGAAACTATCTAGGAAATGTCTGTTACTGGGGTGTGGCTGTGGTTGTTGTTTGATCATGAGAACTATTGATGAATGCTTTTGGGGTTCAAGGATGTCAGGAGCTTTTGAGGTCTCATGGACACTGAAGCTACATTTGATGATGGTCTAGTGATGAAGAGTCTATGAATGACAAAAATGAAAATGAGACAATGTAACAGGATTAGAAAACATGAACTTCAGGGAAGTGTGGATTTTTTCAGGAATGTAGAATTGATCTGGGAATGACAGTGGAGAACTCATACCATTCCTAATGCTACTGTTGAGGAGATCTGAGGTTCTCTCTTTAAGATGCTTATCAATTACCTACTAGGCATTGGGCTAGGTGTTGGACAATGAGAAGCTTTCAACTGAGAGGAAAGCATGGAATCAGCAGGGAAAAAAAAAATGCCATGAAGTAGCATTCTGCAGAGTGATCTAAAATGTAGTTTATTTATGATGGGTGCTAGTTGGCACAATGAAAACCTGTACAGAGGAGTTAAAAGGCCTTGGGGCTGGGACTGAGCAGGCTAAGATCTCAGGTCTTTGCCTTACTGTCAGAAAAGAAATAATGTTTGAGAAGGAGATGCAAGTCTTTTCAAATGAGCTCTCCCCTTGATGTGAGGAAGATTAGCTGGAATGCTCCATTCTGGATATAGCTCTAGTGACTCACATAGTTTCATAGGGCTTAGATCAATAGACATGGAGTAGCTTGGGAAACAGCCCCTTAGAAGGGCTGTGTGGAGGCTAGGATCAGTTTTGCTGGGAAGTATTTCTACC